TATCCAGGACAGTCACAGACTAATGACTTTTCAGTAAAGCCATCTATATCATAAGCCATGGAAAAACAGATTTTCAGAAATAATTACTTTACATGTTTACACATCTACAACTTACAGCACACAATCTCACGTCTGCTTTGCTCACAGGAAACTACATGCCAATTTTTGAAATGTATTAATAATCAAACTCACTCAAATGCCAAAATAAAAATACCCAGGGGTGTACAACTCATGATTTCTGCTCATTAAGTTCCCTTTTCATAAAAATCAGATTTATGTGTATCTTCTTACCCAAAGAATGCGGTCTGAGTCATTTTAACAGTACAACTTTTTAAAGACAGTGTGCTAAACTGGGCTATAAATACCAGAGAATGAAGCTTTGAGCCACGAGCCAAACATGAAATAAATAATCATGCAGATGCATTTGTACACACTGTAAGTTTTAAGTTACTATTGCACACACTTTGTCTGTGAAAACACTGTTTATGCATGCAGTTAGTGTATGCACAGTTAACTTGTTGGGTTGTGTCTTGAAGATGGTGTGTGCAGTGATGCAGTACTCTTCTACTGTTTCTATAGTTGAAGCCCTGTTTAAGTCATTATTGGTATGATTATGATGTGTGCGGTTTTCATGTAAAGAAATTCAGGCATTCTTTTTAAATACAACCTCAATTTCAGAGAAGCTGGGATATCTGTATTTATAAATGACACACTAAGGAGTAATTATAATACGCTAATGATATGATAATTAGCTAATACCTTACCTTACTAATGCTTAATAGTGTGACATTATTATGAAGTGCTACCTAGTCCAATAAGGCCTTTAGAGGAGGTATTTAAGTTTAAAAAAAAATGAGTGGGCCAAGAATGGACCCCTGAAGGACTCCACCTGAGAGTGCAGTATGTCAGGATGATGTGTCTCCCAGCTTAATTGTAAAGTGTCTATTGATTAAATAAGATTTAAATGGATATGAGCTACAACATCAAAGCAGTACTGATGTCTAAAAGGACTAAAACTGAAAAAAGTCCGTAAAAGGTTTATTTGATTGGATGATTTAAGTCTTAAGAAACAAGACATGTTGGCAATTTAACGATTTATTTATTTAACAATCAGGGTAGCATGTGGAACAACCATACACAGACACAGACAGCCAGACCCCTTTCCTCATGCTGGTCAACAGCTCGGTCACACACTGCTGTGGGATGATATCCCATTCTTCCACCAGTATTTATTGCAAGTCAGCTTCTATTCTCTCCACTCCCAAATTCTGGCGATAGTCTCTCAGATTGTGGTAATATGGGTTTACCACTGGTTGCAGAATCTTATCTTGATATCTCTGTATCAAGATTGCCTCCAATAATTTTCCAGTAGAGGAGATCAAAAGCTGCTACCTTATCGGGGGAGCAACCAGCATAGTGTTTTTTGCATCTTCCTCACACTTTGACCATACAATCCAGCTGCCGTAGGCAGAATCTGGACTCATCACTGAACGTAATGTTCCTCTACTTGTTTAGGTTCTACTGCACATGTTGCAAGACCAATGCAAACAGGCCTGAGGATGAAGAGCAGTCATGACAGGCCTCCTGGCAGCCCTTTGAGAATGGCGATTGGCTGTGTGCAGTTCAGTCCAAATAATGCAGCAACTTGGTTTCTTCAACTTCAAGTTGCCCCATGGCACAGGCCCTATCCAGATCAGTCAAACGTGGCATGCTTGAAGCTACTTTACTTTATAGATTTATATTGCACTCTTCACAGGATAAAAACCACAAAGTGCTTCACAATGATATAAAACAGATAAACATAAAACAGTACAATTAAACACGCAGCACACATCTAATTAAAAGCTAGTCTAAATAAATTAGTCTTAAGATGATGTTTAAAAGAATAAATACAACCCAAGCAACGTAAGCAGATGCCAACTGAGTGATGTAGCACATATTCAGATCTGCTGCTCAACCCACAAATATAGTTATTTACAAATAAATAAACTCCTTACATCTGGAACCATTTAAGGGGAAATAAACAGGCTTTCCAAAAATATGGAATTTATTGCCAAGAACCATTGTTACAACTAAGAAATAATCAACTAAACAAATGTACTTTTTTTTTTAATTTGATGGCAGCAACGTGTCCCAAAAAAGTTGACAAAGGGGCAATAAGGGCCTGAAAAGTAAGTGGTTCTTTTTATTTTGATTTATTTTACAAATAATTAGGTTAGTTGACAACAGTTTAGTAATATAAAACAGGCATCTTAGAGATTCAGAGCTTCTTAGTCAATTGCAAAAGGTTTAAATAGCTCATCACCACACAACATAATTTCCTCACAAGATTCAGAGAATCTGGAGAATTCTCTTTGTGCAAAATCAATATTGGATGGCTGTGATCTTCAGACAGCACTGCATTTAAACAAATCATGATTGTGTCATGGAAATCACTGCATTGGCTCAAGAACACTTTAAGAAATCACTGACTGAACACAGTTCACCGTGCTTCAACGTGCCATCCACAAACTGTATTTTAAAGCCATATGATGCAATGAAAAAGCCATGTGTGAGCATAATCCAGAAATGCTTCTGTCTTCTGTGAGGCAACATTTTATGTTTGTTTGTTTGTTTGTTTGTTTTTTTAAATAACTGAAGCATTAAAGTGGAGAACTGTTCTGTTGGGAGACAAATTGAAATGTGAAATGTTTTGACAAAAATGGGCAAAAATTGCCTCTGGACCATCCAGCCTGTTATCAACACTCAGTTCAAAAGCCTGCATCTCTTTTGGTTCCTATAGAATTAGCAGCTTGCACATCTGGAAAGGCAGCTTAAATGCTGAAGGGTATATAGAGTTTTGAGAGCAATATATGCTCCCATGCAGAGGACATTTTTTTAGCAAGGCTTCACAGTAGAAGAATCTGGGTGCTGTACTGGTCTGACTGCAGTCCAGACCTTTCACCAACTTTGGCACATCATGAAAGTAAAAGCTACAACAAAGAAGACCCAGGACTGCTGAGCAGCTAAAATCCTCTATCAGAAAAGAACAAGACAACATTCCTCTCCCAAAAGTCCAGCAGCTGGTTTCCTCTGTTCCCAGATGTTTACAGACTGTTGTCACCGCAGTGTAAACATGGCCCAGTCCCAAGTTTTTTCAGATGTGTTGCTACCATCAGATGCAAAATGACCATTTTGTCTTAGAATTGTACATGTTCTCAGTTTAAAAATGTTTTGTGTTTTCTATGTTCTATTGTGAATAAGATATGGATTTATGAAGTTTTCAAATCATTGCATTCTGTTTACATTTTACACAGCCTTCCAGCTTGTCTGAAACTGGGGTAGTTAAAGAGAATGACTGAGTTTCTTTAAATGAAATAGCAAACATCACAATCATACTAATGATCACATAAATAGGACTTTCAATATAGGGACAGTTTTACACCTTCCACTATAAAGTAGAAGAGTACTCAATCACTGCACACTCCACCCTCAAGACTATTTGACACAAACCAACAAGTTAACTGTGCATATGTTGCAACTGTGTTTAACAGTGTTTTTGACTGACAAAGTATGTGCAGACGCAAGTGTGTCCGGGAAAAGTGAGATAACAAGTGAAAATGTTTGAATGAGTCTCACAGGCCTGAATATGCACTTGAAGCCATTTATAATCCTAAACTTTTTTGATCTGCTGCTCACCACAAACAAGCATAAGTAGAAATGTTGGACTTTTAACTGTATCTACACAAGTTTCACAGCTTTTCATTATGTTTTCTACAGTCATTGCTTCAAACATAAAGAGGAAGTTCTCTGCACTCTCTCAGAAATCTGCTCATGCAACTGGATCTCAACACTGGCATCTGTTTCCTTACCTGACACACGCGGTTTGAAGACAGACAAGTAGTGTTGCAAGAACTGCACAGATAAAGAAATAACTGTATTTGGCTACTGAACAGTATTGTGATGTGAATAAGGGCGCTGGTAGAGGTATTCCCTCAACCCCACTCTTGTTATTTCTCATGCATACTCCACCAGTAAGTATTAGAAATATAAAGTCTGCTCTGTATTGCTGTGTGACAGGTGGACAAATTCAAGCTTAAATAGATAAAAAAATAAAAATAAATAGACTGACTGTAGTGTGCATGGTAACTTGAATCTATGAGTTAGGCCTGGCTCTAACCTGTGACAGCTGGAACAGGCTATGACTATCCTCCAAGCCTAAACTGTACAAAAAAAAGGTAAGAAAATTAATAGAAATAAGTTTGTATAGTTCATAAAGCAGGGATGTAAAACTCATTTTACACTGTGCCACATCCAGCTCACTTTGATCTTATATGGGCAGGATTGGTGAAATTCCTATTTCTGTCAGTGTAAAATAGTTTAACTACATAATTAATCTCTGCAACATTTTAACATAAAACAAAGAAGCACCATTTTAACGGTATTTTTCGTTTTTTCTACATTACAAAGAAATTATGCCATAGTAAATGAAACAAGTCTGTCATGTCAGCACGACTGGGCTTAAATTGTAAATAAAGTAAATGTGTAAAATTACAGAAATCTATAATTGATTACTTCAGTGCAATGTGAATTGCCATCGGGAAGAACACGAGGGAAAACAGTAAAATGTTTCAAATGTTTCCAAAGCCATTCAGTGGGCTGGATTGGATCCTGGCTGATTCTAGCCCCCGGGCCGTATGTTTGACACCCCTGCAAATAGATGACATTTTAAGTTGTCTAAACATTTTCACTTAATAACTAGAAATGTGAACTTATTTTCCCATTATGACTTACCCATAAGTCATAATTTTGGGGAAGTTTTTTCGGTGGCGGAAACAATTGTTAGCTTAAGCTGTTGGAACAGGAAAGGAAAGCACTGTAACGCCTGCCATACGACACGGAGGGTAACTATCTTGACGTTTTTGTAATCTTTGCTGTCACATAACAAGCTTCGTGCGCTTCCTCTGCAAAAAGGACACGAGACAACAAACAAAGCAGTGAGCGAATACGTTTTTCGCGTTTTTTTTTAACATTTGTGTCACCGAGGTCTTGTGCAACACATTTATTTAGCTAACAACCGGTTTTTTCGACCGTTAAGTAACTCCTGATGTTATCCTCGTGACCAATCGTTGGTAACCACGCTCCGACGTGACATTGTTTGGCTCAGTAGCGCAAGTAGCACTCGTTATCCAGGGAGTGTCAGGGGAGTGTTTCTGACTGCTCCGATAAAGTGGCCCTGCCCACTCAACAAACAATATCACAGCACAACAGTGTGCTTAAAGATTTGGCTGTAAGTTTGTAGGTTCAGTCCTCGATACGACATTCATACTGTACGCTGCTGTTAACTGAGTGAGGTAAGAAGTTAAGCTATGTCTGCTAGTGACCTGACATCAATATTAGCTTTAATGCAACTTTGCGCCGCCAAACCTTGACCTAGAGTCACTGAAGTGCGGCGTGACTTCAGAAAGTCAGCGCACGTAATGTTTGGGAGCACGAACACGTAAAAGAAAAATTAATTAGCGTTAACTTAGCATGTTTCACTGCTGCGCTAGAACAACAGCAAACGTGCTCAAATTTATTGTAAAAGTATAGTTTTTGTAACGTTGCTGTAAGAAAGAAAATGAAAGCGACATTAGACTCATGCGGGTATTGTTCTTTTCCTGCTTATTAAAATAAAAAGGGTTTGGGATTATGTTAAGGGAAAGGAATACGTTTACTTGTATATTTAAGCTTGAGTACATACATTTTTAATTCTTAAATGATGGTTAAAAATAGCAGTAAAGGTAACACAGACTATTAACCTTAACTGTATCAAGGTAAATCTTGTTTACATGTATCCCCCTGTTATTTCTGGCCAGCAAGTACTCTGTAACAGTGCACAAACTGTTTGAGCCATTTCCATGCATTGATAACTGATTAAAAACTGGAATGCTACTTAAAAAAACAAACAAACCCACAGCTTGTATTTCTGAGGCTAATGAGTGCAAAGAGGCCAATCAGTGTGAATATGGAGTATGTTTGGTTAACTCTCTGGGGTGTAATTAAGCTGAAATGGTTCAACCTTGTAATGTTAGCTGATAGTTGCTTTGGCTAAGGATTTAAAGTGGTCTTTACAGGAGTGATATTTTGATTTAACGTCGGTTGTGTAATGATGTATTGAGCATGCCTTTAATGTGTTTTAGCCATTCTGGTTGGTTATGAAGTATAAGCTTTTATTTATGTGGTGTGAGTTTTTATTATTGTGCTGAACTGTAACAGGGCTGGCCATTTGGTCTGCACAAATTGAATGATGCCATGCTTCTGTTAGTTGTTAAATGTAATTTTTAACAGAGAAATTGACATATGCCCGATGCCTGCCTTGAAATGTAAAAAAATGGTTTAAAAAGAAGTCTAAAACTAAACTGATTGGGGATGTCGCATAGCAAAATCCTCACGTTTTCTGTTACTGCGAATTCTGTTTAGTCAGTCATGGGACAGCAGACGCATTAGGCAGAAAAATTTGCTACTTATACCTATGAATATCCACCCTTAGTGGAAGTTAAACGGCTGTCTTTTTCTTATCTCAGAAAATGTGGCTGCAAATAGCTGGGTTCACTGCCCTGCCACACCTGGGAGGGCTCTACGGTGGTTACCTCACACGCAAAGAGGTAGATACCTGGTACCCAACCCTGAAGAAACCATCATGGCGCCCACCAAACAAAGCATTCCCCGTAGTGTGGACGTGTCTGTACACAGGCATGGGGTAAGCACATTGTGACTGATTTCTGCATTATCTGTGAAGCAGCCTCCTTATCTTAATGATCTCGTGTGAATTGTTTTTGTCGTTCACTTCCAGCTATGGTTCATACCTGGTGTGGAAGGAGCTTGGAGGTTTCACTGACGATGCACTAGTTCCACTCGGGCTTTATGGGACACAGCTAGCTCTGAATTGGGCCTGGACTCCCATTTTCTTTGGTGCACACAAGCTGAAATGGGTAAATTTAACTTAAAACTGTACTTTTTTTTTTTTTTTTTGGACACCAATAATTAGGGGTGTGGTAAGTGTGGCAGCATAGTTGTATACATCGCTGTCACTGACATGCCCTCTTTCTGTTCTTTTTAGTCCCTCGTTGAGATTGTGCTTCTCACGGGGACTGTCGGAGCCACCATGATGTCCTGGTATCCCATCAGCCGCACCGCCACGATGCTCTTGGCACCCTATCTGGGCTGGCTGTGCCTTGCAACCAGCCTCAACTACTGCATATGGAGAGACAACCCAGAGGAAAAAGAAGAGTAGGGATCATGACTGTGTGTTTTGAGGAACATACTTACATTCTGAATCACGTACACAATGTTATTAAAAAAAAAATAATACTAATAAAAAAACCGGTCAGTCTCACTTTTGACTTTACCAGCTGCTTTATGATCTTGTTGGCTGGTCACAGACTTACTAATACTTGCGTATATGTTGCCCAAAATAAAAAGAAGAAAAATAAATAAAGACGACATTTCTAAATAGTGGTATCCTCTTTAACATCTGCAGTACTTTAGATCTGAGCAGGCATTATTTTATCTGCTTAGATACTGTATAACAGCCTGCTTCTAATACATTTACTTTGTTCCTTTAAAAAAAAAATCCCTTAAGAATTTTAGAAATGTCATTACTAATAGGAAAAACTGTAATATGAACAGAATATGTGATTACATTGAAATTAGTTAAGTCACCCCATCACATGGAGTTTTGGTTGTTCAGTTTAAAACTGAAAGTTTTTGCCTTTTTTTTTTTCTTAAATAAGAAAACTGTGTAAACTAGTCCATGAAACATTTTTGCTTTGCAAGTAAATAATTTGAATTAATGGTCAGGTGCATTTCTCAAACAGACACAAGCTTAACTGATTAAATCCTGCCTGGTAAGCCAACTCACGGCCGTGATGTAGACCAAAATGTTTTTCAACATTGTTTCTATAGACTTGTTTAAATGTAAAATTTCTTATATGTAAAAAATTCAAGTCTGACCAAATAGAAAAACTCCAGGAAATTGAGTTCTGTAATCTGTTAAGACTGTAAAATAACACTAGTGTTACAAACTGATGACTGTGGGTTATTTCCACCACACAGCCAGTGAAGGCTTATAAAAATATTTAGTTTGATTCAACAACATCCAACCAGCGAATATTCACAAAACTTGCAGCAGCTGACCTACAACAGCAGAAGACCACATTGCTTGCTGCTTCTGTCAACTAAGAACAGCAAACTGAGGCTACAGTTCACTAAAACTGAACAAGACTGGAAAAATGTTGCCTCTCTGATAGGCCTCCATTTCTGCTGCAATATTCAGATGATGGTCAGACTTTGGTGTGAATGGCATGAAAGCATGTCTCCATCCTGCCTTGTATCAACAGTTCAGGCTGGTCTCAGGAGGATGATTTATCTCATCGCAAATGAAAATCATCTCAAACTGGATTCTTGGATATGGAAGTGAGTTCACTGAACTCAAATGGCCTCCATAGTCACCAGATCTCAGTCTAATATGGCATCTTTGGGATGTGATGGAACAGGAGACTCAAAGATGTGCAGTCAACAAATTTGTGATGCTTTCATGTCAATATGGACCAAAATATATCCAAAAATATTTCTAAAGCTAAAATTTAAAAAAAAAAATATAATTTATATATATATATATATATATATATATATATATATATAGAAAAATGAGTCCAAAATGGTAACAATAAGATTTATTTCTATACATATAGGAAAAGAAGATTGGGAGAAAAAGTTATTTTTCTGCAGGTTTCTCTGGGACGTCTTCTGGTGATTTCGAAGAGAATCTCTGCATTAGCGACTTCCACAGACCCTTTTTTTCCTCGTCCGTATTTTGCATAGTTCCTGTAAAATTTAAAAGTCGGGTCTAAGTTACAGCAAGTTCCCGGGGCCTCATAACAACATTGTTTATTAAATAACCGAGAATTGACAGCACATGCGAGTCCATACCTGACAAAAGCAATCTACACTCTTCCACTGTGACTCCAGTGAAGCTCGTGTCTCTCACACGAGGAAACTGAAGAGAGAAAGAAAAAATTCTTGTAGCCTTCGACAAGTTTCACAGAAATTTCTTTCCAAATGAAAAAAGTCAAATATTATATACAAGTTCATTTATGTACTCAAATAATTTGGAGTGTGCACAGTATTTGAAGAAGTCAGCTTCCATTTTCTGCATTTCACATGCACAAGGAAAATATCCCCTTACAGCAATGTGACAAATTAATAGTCTTCCTACTAAAATCTTTTTTTATATTAAGTAAAACTTCCCTATTTACAGTTGAGTAATTCAGAGGAGCAAAACAGACATCTGCTGATCTCTGGATCTTTATGGTTCAAATTTAAAGCTTAACAATTTTTAACCATTAACCTCGTGTGTTTGTTTAGACCTTTGTACTAACTGTAAACACACTTTATCTCCACACAGGTAAAAAAGAAAAAGTAACTACACCTTTGCAATCTTAAAGAATGGAGAAGTCATTCGCTAGGTGACAGACCTCAGGTTAACGACAGCAGTGGAGGGCAATGTGTTTTTTGTATGATGATATAATGAAGTTGAAATGCACCTCACATATGCGCATGTGTACTTACCCGCTGTCTGTATATGTTGCCGTTAATCTGTGCCAGACTTTCGTACATCTGATCACATTTCTCAGGATCTGAGATCTAATGGGGAAACATTGAAGTGGTTAAGATTTGATTTTACTCACTTAACATGTTTTAACCCTTGTGTGGTGTTCGTATTTTTGTTACTCAGCCAGTGTTCATGGGTCTGGTGGACCCGCTAGAGTTTTGGCTTTCCAAATTAACACTATCAAACAATTTTATGTTAAATTACTCAACAGATGTTTACTTCATCCCAATTACAAGACATATGAACAGCAAACATGGTTAATTTTTTCCCTTTACCTTTGTTAGATCATATTTATGAATTAATGTGCTTCTCGTTTTTCTTTTATATAAAATGTTATAAATAAATCAGTTATAATCAAGTGGAGTGAGTGGAAAGACAACACATTTACACGTGAAAAAATAATTAATTGTTTAATTTTTCTTTTGAAAAAAACTGAACACGGGTCTCACAGACCCGAACACCATACAAGGGTTAAATGGAAAAAAATAATCTTCTCATTATTTTAATTATTAACTTTAAATTCCAAACAGGTCATTTTGGTTTCCGTGAAAAAGACACGAGGATGTGCGATGCACTGCCATGCTATGTGCACTTGTGCTCTACTATGCCATCATAAAAATAAATAATCACTATGCCACCGTATCTCTGGTGTCTGTGGGTTACATTTTTTAAATCTGATTCTTACTGGTCAGATAACACACAGTACAGAATCAATAGGCAAAATAATGCTTGTACTGTGTTTAAGAGATGGCAGGTGAAATTCAACTAGAGCCAGGGTAAAACGTCAGTGTAATGCCAATTTGTACCACAAGATGGGGCAGCGAGTCAGTGTAACCTTTATTTATAAACTAGTGTTTTATTGGCACCTCAGATTCTGCTGGCATCAAACACCTATGATTATCAAAAACCATCTTTTTCCATTCCTTTTCGTTACTACTTATCCAGTTCAGAGTTGGTAGTGGGCTGGAGCCTATCCCAGCTGTTTTGGCAAGATTTTTTTACATGTTATGGTTTACAGTGCTCAAATGGTTGGCTTCTCAGAAACTTCATGTTTTAGAAACAGATTAAAGGCTGTTTACTTGGTTGCAAACGCTGATAGTTATTTTATTTTCAAGATTTATTAAAAAAGCGCATCAAAGCTGGGTCGTTCCATCTCAAATCATTGTGGATCTTCTGTTCGACCATCACTCATTTACTCCAAATATTTTTACGGCTTGAAGTCTCGGCCATTTATGACTGCTGTGAAATTTTAGCTTTATACATCAAATACCTTTCAAGATATATTTGTGAAAGGTGTTCCACTGACCCCATTCCAGCAAGTTTATATATCTGTTGATATATGAAGCTAAAATTTCACAGCAATGATTATAAATGTCCAAATTGTAAATCAGAGGCGGATGAGTAGAAAATTTTCTAAACATTGGATGATTTCAGATGGACCCAGCTGCAAAAACCAGCGGTGGACTGATGGACATTAGTGCCTCAAACATCTCAATACTAGTCTTGAAGTTCGCAGAAATCTGCTTTGGATTAGGTTGTCAGCTGCTTGCTCTTCTAACTAAGCTGTCCTCTTAGCTTCTTTCGGTTGTTTACAGCAGACAGGAGTCCGTGTGTTGCTACCAGCTAAAATTCATTACCTGAGTATTTTCACCCTCTCGGAAGGCAGAGGCGACTCTCTGCCGCAGAAAGGTCCCCAAGTCGCGGCCTTTCTTGGTCTCGTCTCTGGGCCATTCCTCACACAGCTTCAGAAACCGACGGTACCTGGTCGCCGACATCTTTGGTCATGTAACAGCACGTCCTGAGTGGAGCGAGGAGGACGTATGTTTGGGTTTGAGCTTTATCGCACGCCGTAGTTGTGTAACATCTAAAAACCTTCCCCCTTGACTCTTCGCCCTCGTTGCCGTTGTCTTTTTCTACCCCCAGCACACACGTTAGCAACATGAGTGGGGCAAACGCTAAAAAGGGCTCTTCCTCCGGTGTGGTGGAGTGGATCAGCTCGGCCTGTCGGTTTGCAACAGATAGAAACGACTTCAGAAGGTAAGACAGAGCAGACAGCAGTGATAGTAAGAGGGTTTTTGGGGCGGTTAGCTGTGTTGCTAGCGTTAGCACTGGTGTGCCAGTGAAGGAATCTGTCCTTGTCCTCTCACTCACTAGGCTACACTATAAGTACAGAAACAGACAATAAAATTACAATTATGATCATCAGTTTAATGGAGTTGTATGATAATATTACCAGCGTAATAGTTGTTTTTAGTTTGTTTATCAATGAACAGAAGAAATGGGCTAATCTCATCGATTAACCACTTTGTCAAACTTTAGGGAGAGTCTAGTCTCTACTCTAAAGGCCCTCAGGAAGCTTAATGTATACAGTATGACGGGTAGCTAGTTAATCAATGTTTAATGGCCAATATGTTCAGACAGTTGGATCCCAGCAGCACATTGTAAGCTATGTAGGATTACCTGGACACCAGAATTCTCAACAACTGTGTACCAAATATGCCAAAATACTGGCTCCCCAAGGATTAAGGTAAATGTCACGCACCGGATATACTAGGTATGATGTTAAGCCTATAAGATATATTTATATATTCATATATTTATTTTAAAAAAATAGCCAGCCTCTGTAGCTGTGGGGTAGACCCAAGACATGCTGGAGAGGTTATATTGCTCAGCTGACCTGGGAAAGCCTTGGCATCTCACCCGGAGCAGGTGGCTGGGAAGGGAGCTCTGAGGGAAGGCTGAGCTTCTCTGCTTAGGCTGTTCTCTCCAGGACCTAGCTCTGGATAAAGAGAAGAATATAAATTAATAGATGGGTGAGGTTATAGATACCTGTTGTCTTATAAATTTATGTTTGATCAGTTTCCCCGCACAGCACAACCTGTAGCCACAGGTTGAACAGGGTATTGTTGCTGTTGATGGCATCACTGATTGTTTAAACCTTTTTTCTTTTCTTTTTTAAGGAATCTTCTGGTGAATTTGGGCTTGTTTGCAGCTGGTGTTTGGGTTGCAAGAAATCTCTCCGATTTTGACCTGATGTCTCCTCAGCCAGTGACATAGCGTGACCCAAATACATCACAACCAGGATGATGGTGAGGTCATCTTCTTTACTAGAGCTGGAGAGAGGTGTGATCTGTTTGCACACCTCTAATGAACAAAAGCAGAATTTATCACGGAATAACTGCTGTTTTTCTACAGATTATTCTGACTGACACGTTTCTTCTCCTTTAGGCATCTTGGACCAACAAAGAAGAAACAGTGGACACAAATAAACTCATGAAACAGTTTTTATGACGTGTTTTAGTTTGAAAACTTTTGTCTTGTTTACTTGTGTTAGATCCATTGACCTTTTGACCATTTGTTAGTTTTTTTAAACCTTTCTTGTAAGTGTAGATTACCTTTAAAAAAAACATTTAATTTTTGTGCTTGATTCCCAGCTAAGCAGTTACTTTAAATAGAAATATCTCTAGTCCTGCTGCTTGACTCCTC